CGGTAATCCTCGGCGCTCGAACCGCCAGCATTCATCGCCACATGGACGGGGGAGCGGGGCGAAATATCCGTGGGAAGAGTGGGGGCGCCATTCGCGATGACCGCCAACGCTGGCCCGCGGCTGGGCCAGCGCAGGCTTGGCAGGACGCAAGCTGTGGCGGCGGGCACCGCCCCCTCTAGGCAGCGGCACGCTATCCACATGCGCGAACCGGCGCACTGGGGTACCAATTTCAATTTCCAGCCGTGGCGACGAAAGACGCTGACGGTGCCCAGGGTGGTGCCCCTCCGTTCTACAATCTTTCCGCGGCGATGAAAACCCTCTCCCTGCGCCAGCAACCCAACAGCCACCACGCGCCCTAGCCGAGGCGCCGCCGAACAAGAATCGGACGGCTGACACGCGCCCTTCCTGGGCCAGGCGGGACCCCAGGGGGAGGAGGGCCCGGAAGACTGCCAGGTCTGGAAAGATGCGGTTCTGCCGGGGGCGGTCCTGGCACAGGTTGCGTTTGTCCGCCGTGGGGGCAGCGCTGCTTCGCATCGACGCAGGCGGCCGTGGCTGGGGGTCGTCGGCGGCCCCCCTACCCAACGCCGGCCCCGCGCCTCCTACGCCAGGGGGGCTCGTGGCCGTGGGGTCGTCGGTGGTCTTCGCCGCAAACCTTTTCCGCCCCCCGTCTCCATGGCACCCAGCCCTCATCTGAAGATGCTTCTCTCCAACCGGGGTGCAACTCAGCGAAGCCGTCGCGGGCTGGGACGAGTCGGGCGCACCAGGAGAGGGGCGCAGCGGTGTGGAAAGGGCCCTTTGCGATGACGACGCCTGTGTAGGGGGTGCGCTGGCGGCCCCCACAGCCGCGTTTCCCTGTCCTTCATCTCCCTCGCTGGGGGGGCGGCGCGCGGCGGCCACGGCCCGTCGGGGCGAGTCGGGCACCCCGGAGAGGAGTTCCCGGCGACGCGCGCAGTCGAAGGGCAACTCGGGGGGGGCCCGTCGTCGGGCGGGACGAGCCAGACGCCCCAGGAGAGCTTTCGGCACGTGGCGCAGCGGCGAGAGCTCGGAGGACCGCCCTGCCCTTGCTCCTCGGCGCGGCAGGGGGGGGCACGAGCGTCGTCTCACGCGCGGTGGCTGCCGCCGGGGCACCTGCATCCGTCTCGCCAGTTCGATACTCCCGAACGCCCCTCGGCGCCCCTCAGGGCCCGGGGTTGGCACAGCAGGCCCAGGGGGGGCGGCAGCGCTGGCGCTGTCGCCCGGCGTTCCTGAAGCCGTCATGTCGAGAGGGGGGCGAAAGGTGCCGTACGTTCTCGGCTCCGTCTCTGCAAGGGGGGGCGGCGGTCTGCGCCCTTGGGCTGCCCGCGCGCCTCTCAGGGCCCCAAGATGGCCCCCCGTTCTGGCGGGGGGGAGTCACTGCGCCAGGGCAATCGCCGGGCGCTTCCGAGGCCACCGCTTCGAGAAGTGGACTGCCCATGGCGACGTCCGTCTCATCCGTCCGCGGGGGAGCGGCTGTCGGCGCCCTCGAGCTGGCTGCAGGGGGAGGGGGTCGGCGCCGGATAGGCGCGCGGATGGAAAACGAATGAGACCCCCCTGCACTCAGAGGCGCATTCCATAACGGAAACGCCCCGGCGCACGGATGGCACGCTACCTCCCGAGGGGGGGGTCGGACGGGTCGCCCGACGCCACTTGCTTCTCGCCCCCTCCGTCGGAGGGACAGATTGAGGCACCGGGGCCAGGGCGGGGCGATCCAGGCGCCCCAGGGCTCTCGGCAAGATGCGAGGCGGCGCGGGGGGATTGTCCCTGCATGGGGCCCCCGGGCGCCGCTCTCGGCCTGGACCTCAACGGGGCCCTTGCGACACCTCGGCGCCGCGGGGCGCTGGCGCAGGCACCGCGGGGGAACTCTCGGCGCCGCGAGCATTCGGGAGGCAACCCAGCGGAGCCATCGTCCGGCGGGGCGAACCGGGGGCCCTGGAAGAGCTCTCGGCACGGGGCGCAGCGGCGAGAAAAGCCCTCCTGGGCGCAGCTGGGGGGAGTCCGAGCGTCACCTCCCTCGCGGTGGCTGCCGCCGGGTTGCCTGCACCTTCTCTCGCCAACTCGAAAGGTCTCCAGCGCGCCCCTCAGGGCTCAGGGGTTGAACCGCAGTCTGTCGGGGGGAAGGACAGCGTCGGCGCTGTCGCCCAGCAGTCCTGACGCCGCCATATCAACGGGGGACTGAAGATGCCGTTCTCTGCTCCGCCCACGCCACGGAAGGCGGCGGTCTTCGCCCTTGGACTGATCTCGGCAACGCGTGTCTCGTCCGTTCGCGGGGGAGCGGCTGTCTGGATCCTCGGGCCGGCTGCAGGGAGAGGGGGGGGGGGGGGGCGCCGAATAGGCGTGCGGATGGGAAATGAACGGGCCCCCCCTGCAGCCAGGGGCGCGTTCCGTGGCGGGGGGGCATGCTGCCGCCTGAGAGGGGGGATCACAAGGGTCGCCATCGGGATGACCAAACGCCACCGCGCTTCGTTCACCGCCTCCCCCGCCAGGGGGGCGGCACGCGGTGGCCGCTGCCTGTCGGGGCGAGCCGGGCACCCAGAACAGCTCTCGGCGACGCGGGCAGGGGCGGCAAGGGGGGCGGCGACGACCCGTCTTCGACGCCGCCTGCCCCCCGCCCCCTCCTTCGGGGGGGCGGGGCGAAGAGCCAGGGGGCCAAGACGGAACGCCCCAGGCACCCCGGGACTCTAGGCGAGGCGGGCGGCAGCATAAGGGGGCTTGTCCCTGGAACTCCCGGGGGCCGCTCTCAGCCCGACACCTCCAGGCGAGGATCATCAGCGGCGAGCCCGATGGGGCCCCGAAGTTCGGCGGGCCACGCGCGCCCAGCCCCCTCGCGACCGCGTGCGGCGGAGAGAGCCTGCGTGAAGCGAACAATGGGCGATCTCGGCCGCCAGCGTCTTCCGCCCCTCCCCATCATCTCTGGACGTCGGCACCTAGAGGCCGCAGTCGCCCGCCGCGACAACGCAGCCGGTGGACTGGTCCTGAGGGAACACGCCGATGATCGCAATCATGCCCAGACCAACGCTGGCGATCTCAGCCGCAGCATTCCCCTGCTTCTCCCTGGCGTCGACGGGCGCCAGCGCCGGGAAGCCGGACTCGCCCGCCATTGCGATGCAGCCCGCGGACTGGCCCTGGGGCAGCTGGCGGAGCGCGCGCCAGGAGCTGCGCCCAGCCCGTTGCGAGCACCTCGGAGGTCGCAGCACGGCCGTCCGGGCGTCCAAGAAATCGCAGTCAGCGGGCGGCGACACGCACCCTGGCCGCGCGCCGGTGCTCTCTGGGGTGATGTAGCTCATCATCGTCAGCATAGACACGCGACCGTGCTGCAGCTTGATCCGGCGCCAACGGGCGAAGTTCTCCGCGCTGCCATTCCCCGCGCGGCCAGCGGGATCTCTGTCAGCCGCCAGCTCCTGCTGCTCATCCCCAGCGTCGCTGGACGTCAGCGCCTCGAAGCCGAAGTCGCCCTCAGCAGTAGGGGAGCGGGTCGCACCGCCCTGTAAGAACATCCCAATGATCGTCGCCGTGGCCAGGCGACACTCTAAGATCTCAGCCGCCAACTTCTCCTGCTTTTCCCCAGCATCGCTGGACGTCAGCACCTGGACACCGAGATCGCCCCCCGAAGCAGCGGAGCCAGCGGACTGGTGCTGGGGGCAGCTCGCCGGAAACGCCGCACGCCACGATCTGCGCCCAGCCCGCCGCGGGAACCTCGGAGGTCGCCTCCAGGTCGTTCGGATCGTCCGCGGTCTTCCGCGGGGCGGCAACAGGCACCCTGACGGCACGCTGGTGATCTCCGAGGCGATGTAGCTCGCCATCGCCAGTATGGACAGACGTCCGTGCTTTATCTCAGTCAAGCGCTGGCGGGCGGAGTTCTCCGCGCCGCCGCCAGCAGCGAGGCCAGCGGGATCCCAGCCAACGGGGCCCTGCACCCCCAGCTCACTCTCGAGGGCGTGCAGCGGAAAGCCCGCGCGGCGCGCCCAGTCGCCCGCCGCGGCGGATGGCGGCGGCCCCACCGACGCGGTCTGCCCGGCGAGCGGATAGCGTGTCGCTCCGCCCCGCGGCGCAGGAGGCCAGGAAGAGCTCGGGACGTTCGCGCGGCCTCGCCTCTGCTTGTCCCTGGCCTCGCTGGACGCCAGCGCCTTGAACTTCAGGGTCGCCCGCCGCGGCGGCAAAGCCAACGGACAGGTCCTGGGGCAGCTCGCTGGAAACGCCGTACGCCACGAGCTGCGCCCAGCCCGCCGCGGCAGCCTGGCCGCCCTGGGCAGGCCCGCAGGCCCCAGATGAGGTGGCAGCCGCCACCGCGGCAGCAGCGGCGGCCGCGGCGGCGGCAGCGGCGGGCGGTTGCGGCAACCGCGGCGGCGTCGGCCAGCGGGCGTCGCCACCGCGCGCCCAGCAGCATGGCACCAGAGGGGGGGGGAGGCTGGGACGGGGCCCCCCTGCCGAGCCCCCCCCCCCAGGCAAGCGAGCCGGAGGCAGGGGCCACCCCCAGCTCGGCGAGCGGCCGGCTCGGCACTTGAGCCAGAGCGGCCTTGAGCCAGGGGGGCTACGGTCACACATACACACACACACACTTACACACTTACACACTTACACATGTTTTGCGTCGGCGGCTGGGCAGAGGTTACTGCTCTGGCGATCGGGCGTCAGCGGGGCGCACTAGATGCAAAGTGGGCCGCAGTGCACGTGATGAGAAGAAGAGACCCCGGCGCGACGGGGGGAGAGGAAACCGAGAGACACACACACACACACACAAACACACAAACACACATGTACACACACACAAACGGAGAGAGAGAGAGAGGAGAGAGAGAGAGAAAGAGAGAGAGAGAGGGAGAGAGAGAGAGGGATCGGGTGAGCGAGAGACTGAGAGACAGAGAGATAGAAACGGACAGATAAGAGAGGGGAAGAGCGAAATGGGAGTGAGACGGAGGAAAGGGTGGATGGTGAGGGGGGGGAGGTAAAGGGAGGAAGGGAAGGCCAAGGGAAAGGTCACCGTCCTTTCGGAGACCGCCGCGGCTTCCCCTCGCCGCCGTCGCCCTTGGACTTGCCAGACGCATCCGATTTGATCTGGTCCTTGAGCTTCTGCAGTGCCGGGGGTATCTCGCACCGCCGAGGGCTTGGTGCTTGGCTCCTCTGAAATCCTCTACTGCATCCTGCCTCCTCCTCCTGTCGCATCATTCCTTCCTGCCTTCCCTTTTCCTCCTCCTCCTCATACTCCTCCGTTTCCTCATCCTGCCCACTCCTGCTTTTTCTTATCCTGCTACTGCATCCCAATCCACCTCCTATATCATCATGGTATATGTTCCACCTCCTCCTGGCTCCGCTCCCTCCACCTTTACCGCCCTTCTAGCTTACTCTTCCCAGTCGCACCCACGAACGTCCCCGAGCTTGAAAACTCCGACAGCTACACGGATGGCGACGGATGATTCTCGGGAAGGGGCTCTCACCGAAATGGTTCGCACATTCGCATGAAGCCACGAAAAGATTACATCGTCTGTGGGGTTAATGTTCAGAATGAGTCTCCCGTTTTAACACCGCGAACGATCGTCTGGAAATGATTGCATCCGCAACAAGGATGGAAGATGGCTCCTGTTCAAAATGTGGCAACCCCGTGGGATTTCCCGAAAAATACTTGCGTGGACGGAGAGTAATAGAATCCCCCGTAATGTATTCGTAACGTATGCTGAAATGAGAAATGATCCTCCTCACAATAGGCCTCTCGTTGCTGACGTCCTCTGGCCTAGTGGCCAGAAATGCAAACGTGTGCAAGAACTACACCGATGGAGTGCGATTCCTTTGTCAAAACGAAGTTCGCGCTTGACATCTCGTTGAGCTAAGTGACTTGACTTTTTTGCAAAGCTCAAAACGTCATACTACTCGCCAAGAGGACGCAAAGCAAGTCATTTTTCCAAACTGTCCGTAGCCTAAACGGCATGTCCGTAAGTTGAACGAATTTCACGGGAGCGCTTCAAGCGGTGAATTGACAGGCTGGGGATTTGCGACGTGGGGACGTGGAACCGGTGGATTGCAGCATCGTGATGCGCTAGTCTTCTTTTTCGAACCCCAGTTCCTGCCCGCCCACCACTTGCATCACCTGGCTCATTCGCATCTTCCTCCACCATATTACTTGCTGTTTCCGTATTATACCCCCCGCACGCCCCCATCGTGCTACTTCCCCCCAGCCATCAACATCAAAACCAACACCCCACCATGATCATCATCATCATCATCATCATCATCATCATCATCATCATCATCATCATCATCAACATCATCACCATCACCACCACCACCACCACCGTCATCATCATCAGCATCATCATCGTCACCATCGTCACCGCTTTCGCCACATACCTCGGCATCATCATTACCATCATCATCAACATCATCATCACCATCAACATCATCAGCAGCATCACCTCATCATACACATCACCATCACCATCACAATCATCAGCATCATCACCACCATCATCATCAGCAGCAGCAGAGAGCAGCAACGTTCTTCTCCGCCGTCCTCTACATTCCCTACCTAGGCTGTGCCTAGAAGGGTTCTTACTCTCTTTCTCAAAGGGGCCGGGCAGTGCACACCGCCCCGGGCGGTTCCCCCAGTATCCGCCCCGCGGTTCCCCCAGTTACGTCCCCTTACCTGAGCGTTGCTTATCTGATCTTAGCTTAGCCTAGCTTAACTCCGTTTAGCTTAGCTTAGCTTAGCTTAGCCTAGCCTAGCTTAGCTTTGCTTAGCTTAGCTTAGTTCAGCTTAGTTTACCTTAGCCTAGCCTAGCTTAGCTTAGCTTAGCATAGCTTAGCTCAGCTGAACTCAGCTTAGCGCAGCATTAGCATAACATAGCGCAGCATAGCATATCATAGCATAGCATAGCAAAGCATCACGCAGCATAGCATAGCGCAGCATAGCATAGCATAGCATAGCATAGCATAGCATCGCGCAGCATGGCATAGCGCAGCATAGCATAGCATAGCATAGCTTATCTTAGCATAGCACAGCGCAGCATAGCATATCATAGCATAGCATAGCATAGCATATCATAGCATAGCATAGCACAGCGTAGCGCAGCATAGCATAGCATAGTATAGCATAGCATAGCACAGCATAGTATAGCATAGCATAGCATAGCGCAGCATAGCATATCATCGCAGAGCATAGATGTTGATGTACATGTAGATGCAGGTGTAGATGTTAACGTAGCTGTCGGTGTAGATGTAGATGTTGCTTTCCTAGATGCTCCAACTCCTGGGTAGAGTCGCACTGGGATAATGTTCCTTCTCTTCCTCTTGCTCCTGTTCCTCAGATTCCCCCTCCTCCTTCTCCCCCTCTTCGTATTATTCCCTACCTAGGCTCTGTCTATAAGGGTTCTTACTCCCTTGGCTTAAAGGGCTGGGCAGTGGGAACCGGCCTGGGCGGTTCCCCCAGCATCCGCCCCGCGGTTCCCCGAGTTACGCCTGCTTAGCTTAGCGTTGCTTATCTCATCTTAGCTTAGCTCATTTCATCTTAGTTTAGCATAGCTTAGCTTTGCTAGCCTAGCTTAGCTTTGCTTTAGCTTAGCTTAGCTTAGCTTCGCTTAGCTCAGCCTAGCCTAGCTTAGCTTAGCTTAGCTTAGCTTAGCTTACCTTAGATGTAGATGTAGGTGTAGATGTAGGTGTATATGTAGATGTAGATGTAGATGTAGATGTAGATGTGAGCCTCGCTGTTGATGTTGATGTAGATGTAGATGCAGGTGCAGATGTTGATGTAGCTGTCGGTGTAGATGTAGATGTTGCTTTCCTAGATGCTCCAACTTCCAGGTAGGGTCTCGCTGGGATAATTATTAGCATTATTCCTCCTCCTCCTTCTCCTCCTCCTCCTCCAGGGGGTTCAGCGCCGCGGGCCTGGGGCGGCCCGTTTCGCGCGAACCCCCAGCCTCCCGCCCTCTCGGCGCGAGGCGTCTCGGGCACGCGGCGCCTGCGATCGCCGTCGCCCGCCCGGCACCGCCGCCTCCGCCGCAGGCGGGCCAGCGCCCGCGCGCTGCCGAGGCTTGAGGTCGCCAGGAGGTTGTTGCGACATCACCGCGGGTCAGCTCCACCCGGTGGAATGTCTAATCAAAATGATGGAAAAGTATGGGCTTGCAAAGCCACACGTCTACGTGGATAGCAGACCAACTACCTGTCTCGCACCACCCGCTGGCCTTGCGGACGAGACCGAGATGGGAGACCGACGAAAGAGATGCCGCCACGCCGACGACCCTCTCGTTAGCCGTCGCGGTCCAGGGGGGCGCAGCAGCCACCGTGGCGGGACCACGATCAAGCTGATGCACCTCATCCTGCTCGGGATCTTCCTGACATGGAACCTAAGTCACCTAAGTCTGAAGTTACGGAGTGCCAGAAGGCATTGCAGCCCCTGCGCAAGCTATACCCAGACGAGCACACGTTGGTCGTTCATGCCAAAGCAGAGCTGTCCAAGGCCGAAGCGACAGCACGCTCGGCCATGGACCCCAGCGACTTCCTCCGCAGCGCCAAGGACCGCCTCGCAGCGAAGGAGGACGAGCGCGACAAGCAGCGCACCAAACTACAGCAACTTGAGGCCGACGTCGTCGAGACCAGGAACCTGGAGCGCGCCAGGGGCGGCGCCGGAGGCGCTCGGCCTCCACGCTCTGCTTCGCGGGAGATCTCAGGGCCGGGAATGCCTGCCCCCAGCGATAATTCGACCGTTAGCACCAGTGCCCCGCGGGCGGCGCATTTTCCAGAGTGGGCACTGGAGTGCCCGACGCCGGCTGCGGGGATCTCGATCCAGAGTTGGACGCCAGTGCGAACCGCGTGCCTGCCGAGTGCGCGACCCCAAAAACGCATTGTAAAAAACTGCAAACAGCACGGCAAAGTACGACGCCAAGCGCTGCGCGACTGAGACTCACCGCGAGGCGCGCAAACTCACATCCAACAACACCTTCGGCCCAAGCGCACACCCCACAAAAACTCCACGACGCCGCGAAGACACCGGGCGTCGCTACGGGCGCAGCGCCGCACGAACATCACGGCGCGCCACATCTGTCTGAGTCGCCATAACGTCGGGCCCCCCTGCCGCATTTACTTCAGCGTCGGGTTCCCCCGCCGCCGCGGAGACAGACCTCGGCGAGCGCTTCGCGCTGGGTTTCCCCGCAGCCATGGAGACGCACCTCGGCGAGCGCCTCGCGCAAGGATTTCCCGCCGCAAGGGGAAGCGATCTGGCACGGCGCATAGCGCCAGGATTCCCCAACACGAAAATACACGCGCCCGCCCCCCCCCCCCCCGACGCCCCGCGCCCCTTCCGTTCCCCCTGGAAGGAGGACGGTGCGAGATAGCCAACGGCGACCGCGAAGGCGGTAGCATCTGCCCGCCAAGACGCACGCGCAGCCGCAGGCCCACTCGAGCGGCCTCACCCCGAGTCGCTGGAAGCCGACCGCTCGCAACCGCGAGCCCGCCTCGGCGGTGGCGTCCCAACTCCGCGGTCAAGAGCAGGTTTGCTCGACACTGGCTGGGAAGCGTCTGCCAGCGCGCCTTGTTTCGGGCTCGCAGGGCGTCGCTTCCCCCCGCGATGAGAGGGCTGAGTCGGACAGCTAGGCCCCTCGTCACCGGGGCCAGAGCGGCATCCTGAGGGCAAACGTTTTGAGGAATCACCCCTGCGCGAAGCCTTTTTCGGACGCGTCTCCGCCGTTGCCCACGCGTGCGAAGGCACGCTTACCCTCGCGTTTGCAGACCCTGCCCCGGCGGATCGGCCCGCGCCATCCTTCGCGCCGAGGTTCGGAGCACTCGCCTGTCAAGGCAAACTCTTCGTGGGACTTGCGGGCGCCCGACCTGTCAGTCGGCCCCGCGCGATGCGCACGCGCCTTGCGGGGGCCCAATGCCGCGCGCTCCGTTGCTAGCCGATGCGGCCAAGCGGCCCCTAGCCGCCAATTCCGTTTCCCTGCGCGCTGTTCGGAGGCGCTGTCTCTCAATGAGTTTGGCCCATTTGCCGCAAAACCATTCGTAGCTTTTGTTCGGGGCCGCCTCTTCCCATCCTGCAATATGCCACCACGTCGCACTCGAGGTCACGATGCGTCCGATCTGCGTTCTGAACAGGGACTCAAGGA